AAGAAGGTGCAGATGAAGTGTGGTGTGCTGCCTGACCTAAAGATAATTGTTATGGTTTGGAACTGGAATCTCCTCCAAGAGTTTATGTCTTGAAGGCTCAATCCCCATACAGAACTGTCTTTGGGAAAATGATTGGATCATGAAGGCTTGATCTCAAAGTGGATAATCAACTTATAACAGAATGGACTACCAAAAAGTGGTGGAAACTGTAGGTAGGAGGGCACCTAGGTTGGTTCTGTAGCTTAGCTGTTGTGTATGGAGCTGCTATAAACATTAATGTGGCTGAATCACATATTGGAGGAAGTATGTCACTAAGGCATGCCCTTGGGGACCTTATCTTAATCCAATGAGATCCAGCAGTGACATCACCCTTCAATCTATCAAGCTATTTATCCATCTATCTATCTAACTATTTTCTGTCTCTCCCTCTTTTATGGTTGTACTAAGAGGAGCATCTTTGCTCTGTCCCAACCCAGGAGCAGAGAAACGGAGCCAGACAAACATCCACTGAAACTTCTGAAATCGTGAGCCAAAAAGTCTTTCCTCCTTTAAATTTTTAATGTGAGATTATTTTTTACAGCAATGAAAAACTGGTTAACATAGAAAATGTGTACTAGTTTTGTGTAGGAGTTGAGAGTATGCCTGACTGTATAGTTCAGAACCCTTTGGAACAAGTTTTGGGGAGGAATTTAGAAAAGTTTAGAGATGCAGGCTTGAGAAACTGTAGAATGCTGTAAGCAGAATTTAATGGACAAATCTGATTTCAGATGACCAGAATCTCATTAGGAATTTGGACAATAAATACTGTGCTCATGAGGTTTTAAATGAGGAGTCAATATTAACTAGAGGCTGTTCGTGTTACATTATGGCAAAGAACTTTTCTACATTTTCTGTCATGCCCTGAGATTTTTGCATGAAGCTAAATTTAAAGACTACAAAATAATTAATCTGATAGATAAAATTTCAATGCAGTATAGTATCTAGGCAGGGAAAAGTCAGTACAGGCAGCTTGTAGTCAGGTTTACTGTGATAATCAGGAGAAGAAAAGTAAAACAAGTTTTGTTTTTATTTTTTTTTAATTTGCAGTTTGACCAGAAAAGTACATATAAAATTGGGTATAAGAAAGGTGTCGTTGCTGAAGAAACTAGTTGCACTAAGGAGAAACCAAATATTTAGTGCCCAGTCAATAAGAAAGATGCCTCAGGAGCTTTCAAGATTCAGCAATGCTCAACCCATCCCAGGCCTCAGGCTGTAAAACAGAAAATGCATTTGAAACACTTTGTTTTGAAAGAGTGCATTCTGCTCTCACATAGTGGTTTAGAAAATTGTTTCCCCAGGATTCGTTTCACCATACTCAGTTACCCAGGAATTCAGAGGTTGCTATAGTCATGGTCCAAATGGCTCAGTTACTGCTCCTGCTGACAGTTGCCCATGGAATCATCCATTTTTTGCTGCTTTGGCAAGCAAGAAAAATGCAAGAGTTATGGGGTCAGAGAGGCTTCCAAGAGGATATCAAAGGAAAGCCTGAGAGACCAGGCAGTGTCCCACAATCAGACTGCCCACAGGCAGCCACTAAGAGGGGAATAAATTAAGCTGTTAGAATGAATTTGAAGCTGCAATAAATTCCCAAGAAGTTAGATAGCAATAATGTAGAACATCTGCTAAGGTAAGCTACAGAAAGCAAGCAGTGCCAGCCAAAGATAGAGGTCATGTGGCTTGCAAACTGCAAGGCCATAGGTTCAGGATTTCCCTAATCCCATGGGTGCATATAGCTTCCACATGCTCTGGATGCCAGATGTGGAGCTACAGGACTTAAGGTTTGCCCTGCTGGGTTTCCATCATGTTTGGGACCCATTCCTTCTTTTTTTTTTAATTCCTTCTTTTTAGTTATACATGACAGTATAATTCATGTTGATATAATTATATAGCATGGAATATATCTTATTCTAGTGAGGACCATTTTTATGGATGTACATGATGGTGGGATTCACTATGGCATATTCATATAAGTACATAGGAAAATTATTTCAGATTAATTCCACTCTCTCCTTTTCCTATCCCTTCTCTCTTCCTTTCATTCCCCTTTGTCTAACCTACTAAACATATAATCTTCTTCTTCTTCCTTCCCTTATTGTGGGTAGCTTCCACATATCACAGAAAACATTTGACCTTTGTTTTTGGTGGACTTGGCATGATAGTCTCCAGATCCATCTATTTACTGGCAAATGTCATAAAATCATTTTTTTTCTTTATGGCTGAGTAATACTCTATTGTGTATATATACCACAATTTCTTTATTCATTCATCTATTGAAGGGTATCTAAGTTGTTTTCATAGATTAGCTATTGTGAGTTGAACTGTGGCTGTTTCACTGTAATATACTGATTTTTACTCCTTTGGATATATATTGAGGAGTGAGATAACTGGGTCAAATGATGGTTCCATTCCTAATTTTTTGAGTAAACTCCATACTGCTTTCCAGAGTGGTTGTACCAATTTGCAGTCCCACTAGCAATGTATGAGTGTACCCTTCCCCATTAGCAATGTATGAGTGTACCCTTTCCCCCACATACTCACCAACATTTATTATTACTTATATTCTTGATAATTGCCATTCTGAGTCGAGTTAGATAAAATCTTGGTGTAGCATTAATGTTAATTTCTTTAATTGCTAGAAATGTTTTTTTATATTTGTTGACTATTCATATTTCTTCTTCTGAGAAATGCCTGTTATTTTGTTTTCCTTCTTATTATTGATAGCAGAATGTATTTTGACATAGTATACATTCAAGGAGTATAACCATTCTTGTGGTTGTACATGATATGGAGTTATTCTGGTCATGTATTTATATATGAACATATTGTTCTTCCTAATCCTATCCTCCTCCCTTCCCCTCATTATACTTTGTATAATCCAATAAATTTCTATTCTTCTCTGCCCACCTTATTGTGTGCTAGCATCCACATATCAGAGAGAACATTCAGATTTTTGTTTTGGGGGGATTGGCTTATTTCACTTAGTATGATAGTCTCCAGTTTCATCCATTTGCTGGCAAATGCCATAATTTCATTCTTCTTTATGGCTAAGTAATATACCACTGTGTGTGTTTGTATCACATTTTCTTTATCCTTTTATCTGTTGAAGGGCACCTAGGCTGGTTCTGTAGCTTAGCTGTTGTGTATTGAGCTGCTATAAACATTAATGTGGCTGTGTCACTATAGTATCCTGATTTTAACTCCTTTGGGTATATGACAGGGGAAATGGGATACCTGGGTCAAATGAAGGTTCCATTCCCAAGGTTCTAAAGACTCTCCATACTGCTTTCCAGAGTGGTTGCACCAATTGCAATCCCACAAACCATGTATGAGTTGACCTTTTCCCCTACATCCTCGCCAACATTTACTGCTACTTATATTCTTGATAATCTCCATTCTGAAGGGACTAAGATGAACTCTTGGTGTAATTTTAATTTGAATTTCTCTGATTGCTAGAGAGGTTGAACATTTTTTCATGTATGTGTTGATTGATTGTATTTCTTCTTTTGAGAAGTGCTTGTTCAGTTTCTTAGCCCATTTATTGGTCAGGCTATTTGTATTTGCTCCCCTCCCCCTTTGGTGCTAGGTTTTATGAGTTCTTTACACATCCTGGAAATTAACACTTTATCTGAGGTGCAGGTGAAAAATATTTTCTCCCATTCTGTAGGCTCTCTATTCACATTCTTTGATTATTTCCTTTGTTGTGAAGAAGCTTTTTAGTTTGGTGCCATATCATTTATTAATTCTTGATTTTACTTCTTGTGCCTTAGGAGTCTTGTTAAGGAAGTCAGTTCTTGAACCAAGAAGTTGGAGTGTGGGGCCTACATTTTCTGCTAGTCGGGTTTCTGGTCTAATTTCTAGTTCTTTGATTCACTTTGAGTTTTGTGCAGGGTGAGAAATACCCCATCGCTTCTTTTTATTCCCCCATTCCTCCTTTTTGGAATGGAAATGGTTACTGGACCATTGCATGTTTAGTTATGTGTAAATTGCTTTTGATTTTGTTTAGCTTACATTTAAGAGTTTGTCTTGGATCTCAGAGGAATCCATGGACTTGGACTATTCAGTAAGGCTAAAAGTTTTAAGATTATGGGAACTCTTCAAGATGAACTTATTTTTGCAGAGTGAGGAGGTCATAAATTTGGGGAGGGTCAAGAGCAGAACATTATCGTTTAGATCTGGATTGTCCCCAACGGCTGTCGTTTTAAAGACTTGATGCCCAATCTCCAACTATGTCCAGAGACAGGACCTTTGGAAAATGACTGGATCGTGATGGCTCTGACCTCAACAGTAGATTAATCCTTTGATAGCTGAATGGACTATTGGGAGACGGCATAAAAGGTGGGGCACAGTGGGATGAAGCAAAACACTGGGGGGTGTAACCTTGGCAACTAGACCCCTTTCCGGGCAGAGAGCAAGTAGCTTGATCCTCAAAACTAGCAAGTAGTTTCTTCCTCAAACTGATCCTACACTTTTATGTATTATTTAGGCTCCATTCTAAATCAAATATACTATGCCAGGGATCTGTCAAAGACTTTTTCCAAAGGACAGGTATCCCTGAAGTCCTATACTTCTGAGAGGCTTCCAGGATGTGTATCTGAAGAGATTAGGGCTAGGACTACACTTTGAGGGTTAAGTTGGAGGTTCTTCCTTCATATACCAAACCTGGCATGGGACCAAGGAAGTCGTGTGACTCAGTCCCTGAAGATCAGAGGCCATATCTATTGTGAAGGCTCTGTAGTCCCCTCTGGAAACCTTCTGTATGTCTTGTAATCTGGGAGGACATAGTTATTGTGCCTCTGACCTAATGGATCATGGTTCATGATCTCTGACACAGCAGCACAGAGGCCACCAGTGGCAGACTCAGAAGGTCCAGGATGGGGAACGGGAGGATCCTAGCAACCCAGAGTTCACTGGGAAGTCCCCATCAACTTCCCAGGCCACTGTCTCCAGAACCACAGCATGCAAAGTTTTAGAAATGCCAATGTTTAATGAATTATTTGGTGTGATGAAACTGGAGCAGTGTGTATTTTCTTAGATAATATCCACATACTTGATCAGGAACAAGCAAGCATACATGACATGCTTAGCCATTAAAGTGCCACCTTGAGAGAAGTGCTGGTATTCATAGGAGGAGAGAAGCATGTGGATAGGCTTTTGTCTGTATCCCAGTCAAAGGGGTCAGTACGTACACACATTTTTCAGGAGTTCGAAAGCTGTTCTCCAAGGATAGGTACTGACTACGAAGAAGCAGTTGAGGGTCTGAGGGAACAAGAAAACAAAGGTGTGGTGAGTGGAGGAGGATGAGAAGGTTTGTGGTGCATCTTAAGGTCAGTCTCAGTCTTATCCCTTTGGTAGGTCAGCAGGTGAGGGAAAGGGACATGTGCCCTCGGTTGGGATCACCAGTCTGAAAACTGGGAGAGTCCTGACCTGTGTCTGGGTCAGAAGCATGATCTTGACCCAAGCATACTTACATCAATCTCCTCTCCATAGTCAGTGACCTCCAGAAGAACTACCAAGATTTCTCTGTGTGATTTAAGACCCTAACAGCTTGGGCTGGGGATGCGGCTCAAGCGGTAGTGCGCTCGCCTGGCATGCGTGTGGACCGGGTTCGATCCTCAGTATCACATACAAACAAAGATGTTGTGTCCGCCAATAAATAAAAAATAAGTATTAAAAAAAAAGACCCTAACAGCTCAAGTGGGATGCTTCATCTCAGTGTTAGCAGCTTTCAAACATATTCAACTCGGTCATATGCTGGTGAAGCCTCTGATAAGAAGGTTTACTAATTATAGGAAGGGTTATTCATAGAGATGGGTTTTACCTTATCCTTATACCCCAAACAGGTGCTACAGCTCATGAGAGCCCAAGACAGAGCCTGGGAAGGAGGGTAGTGGGCTCTTCTCACCTGCCAACCCCCAAGCTCAGGGGCAGTATAGAGGGCCCTTAAAAACGGCACATTCAGGTAAAAGCAATATTGGAATACTATCAGCACACACTTCCCAAAGGCAGGGGAGTGGAGAAATGGAGACCAGGTAAAGGACATTGTCTACTCAGGCCCAAAAGACAAGGACCAAGGGGAACATGAGCAGTCTGAAGGCCATGTGTCCCAGGAAGCAGGCAGCTACAATGGCATGAGTGGCCAGAGTTGGGAACTCAGGTTGGCCAAGGCTCTTCAGCGGACCCACGAGAAGCCTGTGAGATGAGCTCCCCTTGAGGCTTACACAGGGTGGCCTGCTGGGGCCTGCTGCTGGTTCACTCCTCTAGGTCCCTAAAAGTGACATTGTGAGTTGCTCCGACACCCCACTTCATGCACAAACAGAGCCCACATGGAAGGCTGGCATTCCATTTTACCCTTTTCCGCCCTAGGGTATCTTGAAAAGGGCAGTTGTCAATGTTGTCCTCAAATTTGTAACACTTGGTTCTGCCCAGCTTCACATTCATGGCGAAAACCAATGGAGAATCCACCTGCCAGCACAAAGAGACTAAAGTAAATGACCCTCCTTATTGTCCTTGGCAACAATTTGATTGTGTGATTGGGTTCAATCTGGAGAGAGACGAGAATCCTCTATTTTTTTAGGTCACCCATCTGCTGACTGAAAACCAGGGCATTTTCTCTAGATCAGAAATTAAGAGTCAGGAGCAAATGGGCCTGGTGGAGGCTTGGGGATGATAGAGTCTGATTCACACACACTAATGTGTCACCCATTTCCACCTCTCTCGCCCCCACTCTACCATACTGAGATACCAGCCTCACTCTCAGGAAGCATCTGAACCTAAGACTGCATTCCCAGAAGACAGGTGCCATGTGCTTGGCGTGGCAATGGCTCTCCAAGTCCTTGACGGATCATCTCAGTCCCAAAAGAAGGAGCCTCCTCTATGACATGTTGTCTAGGCTTTGCTCTGAGCTGCAGCAAGAAAATTGCTGCCAGTGGTCCTGCTACGCATGGGCAACACATGGCTGGAACAACAGCATCAGATGGAAAACAACTTCTGGTTCCTCTTTAAAAGTGCATATTTTCAATTTGTTCTTTCACTTAATCCCACTCCATTCTACTTCCTTACAGTCCATGTCAGCCCACCCCATCCATCCATTCTTCCCAACCCACCAAAATGACCCTCCATCTGCCAGGGCCAGAGGTCAGGCTCCAGACTGAGAAGGCACAGGGCAGCACAACCAGCCGGGATGCTGCACCCGAGCTGCCACGGAGGCTTCCGCTCTCTGTGGGGTTGGAGTCCCTCTGCCCTTCTTACAGGCTGTCAGAGCGGAGGAAGAGTGACGCTCTCCCTGATGAAACCAGAAGTGCTCCATTAAAGGAGATAAAACGTACTCCAAGGGGCGCTCTGTAGAGATTTCTTTTAAGGAAGAACATTTTAGGATGAATAAGAATAGCCAAAGGCAGCGACTGATAATGTCAATTTACTATGTAGAGACACACTTAGGAGTCCAGAGCAGCGAGAAATCAGAAAAGGGAGCTGAGCCCACAGTGGCTCTTGAGTCTGATGGTGGATCCAATTTTTCCTTCAATTCATTCTCTCTCTCTCTCTCTCTCTCTCTCTCTCTCTCTCTCTCTCTCTCTCTCGTATTTTTTTTAACTCTTTCACTTTTCCTAATTATCTTTTTAAAAAATATTATGTTTGACATATTTTATCAGTCTGTATCTATGGACATTTTCTTTTTTTAGTCATTTAATCTTATTCAAATAATTCATTTAAATCATTTCACAAACATGAAAAAGTTGGTACATGAGTAAACATTTACCTAATTTAAAAGAATTTCTAAGTCAAACACATTCTAAATACTAAAACTAAATGAAGTAGGTCATATTTAACCAAAGTATGAACTACAAATGTTTAAAAAAAATAAAGATTCATTAACGATACCCCCCACCCCCATGGTCTCTCACTGAGTGGCAGGTGCAGGGGGCAAGAGAGGAGAGGATAAATCACTCACGTCCACTTTCTTGGCATTCAGGATTTTCAACAACTTGTAAGCAAACTGGTCTTCATTGAGACGGTTAAATTTGTACACGGCAAACTCCAATGTAGGAGGGAAGTACTGATCCTTGACAATTGGGTCTTCTGGCTTAGTTGTTTCTGCTCTGTATAAGATAGGACTCGCCAGGAGCTGGCGACCTAAGAGAAGCAGCAGCGGGACCCAGGGCAGAACCATTCTCCCAGCTGGAAATAGCTTGGTGCAGGCACAGGCAACCCCTGCCTTTACACTTGCCAATTCCAGTCCTACCAAAGCCTATAATCTTATCTGCTGGGCCACCAAACTCCTCCCTGTGAGCCTCCTCTCTGCCATCACACCCTGTCCCTTCCAACATGTGTCCTCGCCTCCTCCAGTCAAAACTCTTGAATGTGATTTTTAAACAGTAGGGAGGGACAGGAACCAGGCAGGATGGGTTGGGCTGGACCAGCAATGAGAGGGAGTGTCTCCTGACCTGAGTTCCAGCCACACTTGCACCCGAGTGCCTTCAGGAGGTAGAGGTGCCTTGATATAGATGCTCTGGAAGCAGATGCTGACACAAGGATCAAGCTCAAGAGGTATAGTGGAAGGCAACCAGGCAAGGAGGGCCAGAGACAAAAAGGATGGGAGAATGCGAAGCACAGTGTATAATGTAAAGGTACAGCTACGAGAGATCATGGGACAGGCTCAGAACCTGCTTGAGAATTCCTGGCCCGAGGCCTGAGGGAGAAGGCATAACAAATGCTCTCAGTCTTTGCTTTCATACTGACTTGTAGCTCTGGGCCTGCTGCACTGGCAGAACGTCCTCCTCACAGGGAGAGAGAAAAACAAATAGGGGTTGACAGCTGCTGCTAGCCAGTGTGGATATTGGCTTTTAGCAAGAGGATGATAACACTGGAACCCCACATTGAGGGCAGTCAGGGACAGAAATGGAGCTTGGGGACATAAAAATGCCATTCATTCAGCATCAGGTCACTTTCTCCTGAGCACTGGTGAACCCAGGCGGAACCTGGGTCAGAGGTCAGGCTACAGATTGAGGACTGTAGTAAGGTAAAAGAAACAATCAAAGAAATCATAATAGTTATTAACCTGAATATACATATCACTGTGGATTTGGGGTTTTTTAATTCTCTATTTGTTCTTTATAGTTACATATGACAGTAGAATGTACTTTGACTTTTCACACATACGTCCTCTATTCTGTACCATTGGTCTACCAGTCCGTTTGGTGCCAATACCATGCTGGGTTTTTGTTGTTGTTGTTGTTGTTGTTGTTGTTACTATTGCTCTGTAGTATATTTTAAGGTCTGGTATAGTGATGCCACCTGCTTCACTCTTCCTGCTAAGGATTGTTTTATTTATTCTGGGTCTCTTATTTTTCCAAATGAGTTTCATGATTGCTTTATCTGTTTCTATGAGGAATACCATTGGGATTTTAATCAGAATTGCATTAAATCTGTATAGTGTTTTTGGTAATATGGTCATTTTGATAATATTATTTCTGCCTATCCAAGAGCAAGGTAGATCACTCCATCTTCTAAGGTCTTCTTTGATTTCTGTCTTTAGGGTTCTGTAGTTTTCATTGTATGGATCTTTTACCTCTTTCATTAAGTTGATTCCCAAGTATCTTTTTTTGGGGGGAGCGGGGTTATTATAAATGTGACAGTTTTTCCTCATTTCCTTCTCAGAGGATTTGTCACTGATATACAGAAATGCCTTTGATTTATGGGTTTTGATTTTATATCCTGCTACTTTCTGAATTCATTTACTAGTTCTATAAGTTTTCTGGTAAAGCTTTTTGGGTCTTCTAGGTATAGAATCATATTGTCATTGAATAATGATAATTTAAGTTCTTTTTTATACATATCCCTTTAATTTCTTTCATCTATCTAATTGCTCTGGCCAATGTTTCAAGAACTATGTTGAATAAAAGTGGTGAAAGAGGGCATCCCTGTCTTGTTCCAGTTTTTAGAGGGAATTCCTTCAATGTTTCTCCATTTAGAATGATGTTGGCCTGAGGCTTAGAATAGACAGCCTTTACAATATTGAGAAATATTCTTAGCATCCCTAGTTTTTCTGGTGTTTTGAACATGAAAGCATGCTGTATTTTGTCAAATGCTTTTTCTGGTGTCTATTGAGATGATCATATGATTTTTATCTTTGAGTCTATTGATGTGATAAATTACATTTATTGATTTCCATATGTTGAACCAACCTTGTATCCCTGGGATGAATCCCACTTGATCATGGTGCACAATCTTTTTGATATGTTTTTGTATTCAATTTGCCAGAATTTTATTGAGAATTTTTGCATCTATGTTCATTAGAGTTATTGGTCTGAAGTTTTCTTTCTTTGATGTGTCTTTGCCTGGTTTGGGGATTAGGGTGATATTGGCCTCATATAATGAGTTTGGAAGTACTGCCTCTTTCTCTATTTCCTGAAATAAATTGTAGAGTATTGGTATTAGTTCTTCTTTAAAGGGCTTGTAGAACTCTGCTGTCATTCATCCTGTTGTGGTCTTTTCTTGGTTGGTAAGCTTCTGATGGTGTCTTCTATTTCCTCACTCGATATTGGTCTGTTTAAATTATGTATATATTCCTGATTCAATCTGGGAAAATCATGTGACTTAAGAAATTTGTCAATGCCTTCAATGTCTTCTATTTACTGGAGTACAAGTTTTTAAAATAATTTCTAATTATCCTCTGTATTTCTGTATTTCTGTATGTTTGTTGTGATATTACCTTTTTCAACACATATGCTGGTAATTTTGAGTTTTCTCTCCTTCTCTTCGTTAGCATAGCTAAGGCTCTGTCAATTTTTTTTTTCAAAGAACCAACTTTTTGTCAGTTTTTTCAATCATTTCTTTGATTTCATTAATTTCAGCTCTAATTTTAATTATTTATTGCCTTCTACTGCTTTTGCTGTTGATTTGTTCTTCTTTTTCTAGGGCTTTGAGATGTAAAGTGAGGTCATTTATTTGTTGACTTTTTCTTCTTTTAAGGAGTGAATTCCATTCAAAGAACTTTTCTCTTAGTACTGCTTTCATAGTGTCCCAGAGATTTCGATATGTTGTGTCTATGTTCTCATTTACCTCTAAGAATTTTTTAATCTCCTCCTTGATGTCTTCTGTAACCTATTGTTCATCCAGTAGCATATTGTTTAGTCTCCAGGTGATGGAGAAATTTTTATTTTTTATTTTGATTTCCAATTTCATTCTATTACAATCTGATAAAATGTATGGTAGTATCTTTGTATTTGCTAAGAGTTGCTTTGTGACATAGTATATGGTCTATTTTAGAGAAGGATCTATATGTGCTGCTGAGAAGAAAGTGCATCCACCTGATGAAGGTTGAAATATTCTATATATGTAAGTTAAGTCTAAGTTATTAATTGTATTTTTTTAAATTTTTTTTTAATATTTATTTTTTAGTTCTCAGCAGACACAACATCTTTGTTAGTATGTGGTGCTGAGGATCGAACCCGGGCCGCACGCATGCCAGGCGAGCGCGCTACCGCTTGAGCCACATCCCCAGCCCTATTAATTGTATTATTGAGTTCTATAGTTTCTTTATTCAACTTTTGTTTGGAAGATCTATCCAGTGATAAAAGAGGTGTGTTAAAGTCACCAAGATTATTGTGTTGTGATCAATTTGACTCTTGAACTTGAAAAGAAGTTCTTTGATGAACATAGCTGCAGCATTATTTGAGGCATATATATTTATGAATGTTATGTCTTGTTGATGTATGGTTCCCTTGAGCAGCATATAATGTCCAGCTTTATCCCTTTTTATTATCTTTGACTTGAAGTCTACTTTATTTGATGTGAGAATGGAAACCCCTGCTTGATTCTGCAGTCCATGTGAGTGGTATGATTTGTCCCAACCTTGCACCTTCAGTCTGTGTATATATTTTCCTATCATATGAGTCTCCTGGAAGCAGCATATTGCTGTTTTTTTTTTAATCCAGTCTGGTAGCTTGTGTCTTTTGATTGGTGAGTTTAAGCCATTAACATTCAGGGCTATTATTGAGATATGGTTTGTATTTTCAGCCATATTTGGTTTTGTTATTTAACTTGACTTCATTTTCTTCTTTGATTAGCTTTTCATTGTTGTTTTTTGTTTCTTATTCATGGAATATTTTTCCAAGGATGTTTTGTATAGTGCTGATTTTCTAGCTATAAATTCTTTTAACTTTTGTTTATCATGGGAGGTTTTTATTTCATCTTCAAATCTGAAGCTTAATTTTGCTGGATACAAGATTCTTGGTTGGCACTCATTTTCTTTCAGAGCTTGATATATCTTTTAGTCTCCAAGGTCTGTGTTGAACAATCTGCTATTATCCTAATTGGTTTTCCCTTATATGTAATCTGATTCCTTTCTCTCAAGGCTTTTAATATTATCTCCTTATTCTGTCTGTTGGGCACTTTTCTTATATTGTGCATTGGTGTGGATCTGTTGTAATTTTGTACATTTGTAGGCTTCTTGAATTTGGATTTCCAATTCATTCTTCATGTTTGAAAAGTTTTCTGATATTACTTCATTGAATAGATTGTTCATTTCTTTGGTTTGGACCTCTATGCCTTCCTATATCCCAATAACTCTTAAATTTGGTCTCTTTATGCTATCCCATATTTCTTGAATATTCTGCTTATCACCATTATCACTGTGAGGTCTATGTTCTTTTTAAGATTATATATTTTATCTTCATTGTCTGATATCCTATCTTCTAAGTGGTCTACTATGTTGGCGATGCTTTCATTTGAGCTTTTTTTTTTCTTTAAAAAAGTATTGATTCTTAAGTTTTAGGTGGACACAATATCTTTATTTTACATTTATGTGGTGCTGAGGATTGAACCCAGTGCCTCATGCATGCTAGGTGAGCACTCTACCACTGAGCCACAACCCCAGCCCTTTCAGTTGAGCTTTTAATTTGGGTTATTGCTTCTTTCATTTCAAGGACTTCTGTTTGGTTTTTTTTTTTTTTTTAGAACCTCTATTTCCCTGTTGAGGTGATCTTTTGCTTCTTGGATTTGTTTATGTAACTCCTTTTCAAAGTGATCTTTCATTGTTTGTATTTGCTCTCTTATATCTTCCTTGAGTTCATAGAACATTTTAACCATGTATATCCTGAACTCTTTCTCTGTCATTTCTTCTGCTATGGCTGCCAATGATTCTAATGATGTGGTGTATTGATTTGTTTCTGGTACTTTATACCCTGTCTTTTCATGTTGCTTACTGTGTCTTCCTTTCCAACTCTGTGAGTCTGGGGTGTGATTACTCCATAGCTTTGTAGTGTTCCTTTTGGGTTCCAAGATCCCTCCTTTGTGGGGAAGGACAATATTAGCTGATCCCAATATCAACAATATATCACCTATGAACAATTTGTTATATTAAGACATTTACAGTTTAGACTCAATGTACAGAAATGTTGGATTCAATTGTTATCTAAAATATAATTAGTAGTTTCATAAAAAGGTTTACAGGGGACAATAAACTGGGGTGGGGTGTAGGATGATATGCTGAGGGGGAAAGATGTAAGAGTATAGAATAGTATATCTTAGGAAATGTGAAAGAGAAATCTAATGAAGAGGGTTAGTAGCAAGAGAATAGACAGGAAGTAATTTAGGGTAGACATGTATGTGGGAAGACAGTAGAGTACATAAAACAAACCTGCATATTTATTTAGAGAAATACAATATGTTAAAATAGTAAAATTTGGAGGGGGAAAGAAAAATAAAAGAAGAAAAAAGAGAACAAAAAGAAAAGACAAAAAAAGGCATATACAACATTCTGTATATGCAAAGTTCTTGGTTTCACATATGTTGGGGATTTGAGGACTGGAGGATAGAGGGGTAGAAGAGAAAAAAAAATACTCGAAAGAAGAAACCAGGGTTGTTGCTAATTTTAGAGATCCATTTCTTTTCTGTTTCTCCTCTCATCTGGGGCTGTCTGTTTTAAGCTGTCGTCTCTGCCCTCAGGATGGTGTAGGTAACCAGCTTAAAACAGACATGGGTCCGCTCATCTGACTTGAGCTCCCAGTATTGTCTCCCTCTCTTGCCTGGAGATTTCCCAGCTCCTGGTCTCTCTGTTAGGCTCTAAACTTTAGTCCCATCCCCTCTCATTTAGCAGTTCCCACCTGCGGGACCCTCTTACAATCAGGCTCACACCAGGTGGGTGGTGCCCTGGTCAAACAGCACACCTGCCCATCTGGGAGCTGTTTTTTGTGTTGAGTGGTAACTGTGCCAAGGTCACTGCTGGGGGCCAGGGGGAGTTGGATACCTGGTACCTGGCCAGATGGAGATCCTATCTGAGAGCTGAGAGCTGCCCCCAGCAAATATGGTGAGAAAGGTTATCCAAGATGGAGTTTGTCTGCTTCCAGCAACAGGGTGTCTGGTGAGGTGGGGGGAGCTGGGCGATGGCGTTGTGCTGTGGGTAAGTAGTCACCAAGTGACTTGTGTGGGAGCAGAGCGCCATCCCAAGTTCTGCAGAGGTGCTGATAGGTGATTCTGTTAAGCGGCTTGAGAGTCATGCGTGAGCTAGAACTGCTCGGGCTTTGGGTTTCAGGCACCAGGGCCTGGAGTCCTACTTGAACACTGAGGCACTGAACACTGCACAAAGGTCACAGCTCTGGTGATTTCTGAGGAAATCAGCTGTATAGGGGTCCTCTTACACTCTCTGAGATGCAGTATTCCGACCTGGGTCAGGGAGCGACACAGGATGCTGACTCCCTTTGGCCCGCCATCTTGGAATCTAAAAGGCTTTCTTTGACACAGTATGGCCAGGTGGGTTAGAGCCTTGAAAGGGGAAGGTGCTCTCACAGTACATGCACAAGGACCACTCTTTAAATGGGATGACTTCTGCACATTCCAAATTTCCACTTCAGGAAATCAAGACTCAGATTTCCCTTTTGTCTCAATACATCCTGCAGGATTGGAGCTCTGGCTTCTCCCTGGATCTCTCTTTCCACCATTCTCAGCCCCCAGTTACCACTATTCTACCTCTGCATCTCTGAGATCAACATTTAGGTTCATATTTGATTAAAGCATGTGGTTTTTATCTTCTGAGCCTTACCTGTCTCATTTAACATAAAGTCTTCCAGTATCATCTATGTTAAACAAATGGTGAGATATTTTTTATGTCTGAATGTATCCACTGTATGTATATATTGAAATTTTCTTTATCCATTCATCTATTGATAGATACCCAGGTTTGATTCCCTATCTTTTCTGTTTTTAATAGTGCTCTAAACACACAAGTGCAGATATTTGATATACTGATTTCCACATACATTCTACCCCACCCCTTACCCCAGGTGCACACACAGATAGCAGGATTACTGGAAAACATGGTAGTTCTATTTCTAATTTTTTGAAGAAGTTCTACCCAATTTTCCATGATGGTTATTCTAATTTACATTCTCATGTAAGACGATTTTTTTTACTCTATCCTCTCCTTTTTCTTTTCCAAAATTATGAGCTAAGGAAAAAGAATGACATGAAGGCAAAAACCAATACTTCTGTCATCCATGCTGTCCTCCAAAGAGCAAGATCTCCGTAAGGGTGCGTGAATGATGGGAATCCATTGGTGCATCTTCCTTGGTGTTACTGAGGCTAATGAGACCTTAGTAGAGAAGAAGCCAATGCTGAATTTCTCTCAGGTACCTCTATGTTCACATGAAAATGTTGCCAGCTGTGGGTCAATACAAGTAAAACCTTTTTTTAAAGTAAATAGAACAGTTTTGATCCCAATTCTTAATCTAATTTAATGGGTCCACGGGGATATGAGGTTTTAAATAGCCAAACCTGAAGCAAAGCACTGTAGATTCTAACACAGTTGAACTTGGGTATGGGTGGTAAGGTTTGGTTGGCCCCAAGCCAAACCACAGGTGTTTGGGGTATATTATAAATGACCAACCCAGGGCATGTGAACTGCCCAGATGCTTCCAGTTCTTCAACCACATTTCAGGTTTCAGCAAAGAGTCCTTCTCTATATATGGTCATAGTACCAAGTAAGATGGGCCAACTTTAACTAAGGACCAAATGAGAACTAGTGCCCTGGAAGCATAGGTTTCAGTCCTTGGGAGCTGAAGGACAGAGGTGAGCAAAAGTTGCGACCTATAGGTACTGCATGTAGCTACATAGAAAGCTCTAACCTGAAGTGGGAAAAAGAATAGGATAAGATCTGCCTTGACAATGTCCTCAGAACTCTGGGGTGAATGGAGACTGAGGTCAGGCATAATACAGAAGAGTTCCACTTGAGTTTCCCTCCCCAGAACACATCTGCTGACTGAGATGAAGGAAGAGCAGATAAAGTGTGTTCACTGCCTGACTTCACACAGGCAAGCCCCAGGAGGCCACAGGCTTCCCCTTACAATATAACTAGGCTCCACAATTAGGTTGAGTCCTCCAGAAGACAAATTAGATATAAAAATTCAAGTACAAGTGCCTTATTTAGAGGTGACTCCAGAAAATATCAGAAGGGCAGTGATATAGGGAAACAGGAAGGAACAGAAGCAGCATGCAATAGTGAACAATGGGAATGACCTGCACTCAATCTTGCTGACACTCCTCAGAGACTGGTTAGCATACCCTCAGGTTATATTCTGAGGGGTCAGAAGGCCAGCATTTTTAATCCTCCTGTATCTGTCATTGGATGAAGGTTCTCAGAACCAGTATCTCCTTGACACCTAAGCCAGCCCCTCCCTGGCAGAGAAAGCTCTAAGGCAGAGGCTCAGATGGCTGCAGTTGACTCTGCTAGAGAAGAGCAGAGGTGTTCTGAGTAAGATGTTTTGTTTTTGAGGAGGGCTATTGTACAGGTGGCCTCTGAACTTTATCTTCTTTCTTTTCCATGTTTAATTTAGAACCTGACCCTGTTCAGTGCTATCTCTACCTGGCCTCCACCTGCCCATCAGTGCTATAGTCTCCATCACTAGATTTTGGAAAGTGACTCCTTTTGCTCATGTTATCTTCCACACCAGCTCAGCTCACCACACATGAATACATACAGGCATGCACAAGTGCACACACACACACACACACACACACACACACACGCACGCACACGCACATCATGATGTGCTCCAGGATGGCCTCCAGTAATTCTCATGCTTTTTTAGAGTCCCCTCCCACATTGAGTCTCAGTGACCAATAAGACAAGGAGGAATCTATGGAGTTTGAGATTTTGGTCACCAAGGGCATGTGACTTCCATCTTGGTCTTTGAGAACACAGTGTGGATGAAGCCAGACACCATTATCAAGCCTCATGCAGCCTTGTGGAGAGGCCCACATGGATGAGAACAGAGACTTCTGATTAATAACCACTGCCAACCTGCAGCCACATGAATAAGCCATCTTGAAAGTGGATTTTTTGAGACAATTAAACCTTCAGATGATGGCAGCATAGTGAATGTTTGAGTGTAACATTATGAGAGGTGAATTCTAAAACCACTCAGCCAAACCCAGCCACCTCTAGATTCCTGACTCTCAGATATCATGAGATACATAAATAGATTGCTTAAGCCACTAAATGTCTAGCTGATTCCTCCTACAGAATTAGATAACTGATATATCCAACTGCAGACACATATTTACACACCAACATACACACACACAGAGAGAGAGAGAGAAAGAGAGAGAGAGAGAGAGAGAGAGAGAGAGAGAGAGCGCTTATTCTCCAGGCACCTAAATTATTCTTGAACTTTCCTGCTTCAACTTGAAACCAACTCAAATCTCCAAATAGACCATTCTGGACTTCTAATTGTTCTTGGGTTTGTAACCAAGTGTTCCTAAGCCCTTGAGCTCTGGTCTTGGGCAGGGAGATTTCTGTGGAATCCATGGCTAGTCACTCTCCTGGTAGTCAGACTTTTTGAAACTTACAGAAATATCCACCATGCTTCAGGCAATTGAGAGTAATTTCCCAGGAAAAGTCATCAGTGAAAGGTAATTTGTATTCAGAGCTTGGTGAGGTGTAGAAACAGCTATTTTACTGGCTGTAGATTGTCACTGCTAGTAGATGAAGTTGCCATCCTATTAAAAACCATCACACATTCTCAGCATTAGCCCCTGGAAAACAAAAAAAAGCAAAAGGCCACAAAAAGAAGTCAAGGAGTCAACTGTGGTGTTCAAATGTCTGACAAGTGCCTTTACTTCTTTAAAATGGAACTGAGTGTGGCAGAATGTGCTAGACATCTTTGCATTGTTCCTTCAGCATGTTGAGTTCGAATTTCCATGGCTTGGACCTAACAATGAAAGTGCAAAAATACACCTAAAAGAAAAAACAAAAAGAGAAATTAGCTGGTATGAAAACATATGGGAAAAGGAGGGAAAAAAAATAGGCACTCCTATTTTCCAGTCCCAAAATTTGCCTCAGGAAAGTTAAGATGCTGTCTGAATCAACAAAACTCACCAGAGTCCACAGACTGTATACCTTAGAGACTGAAGTGCCAGCCTCACTCGGTAAAATGGGTCCTCATTAATTCATGCCCCTGTGATCTGAGACACCATAAGTGTGGCTTTATTTGCTCAAAGAGAGCAAGGGCCTGAGACCAGGAACTACTTACCCTTTGGAAATCTTTGTGTTCAGCCACACTGACTTTCCTGTAGCCCGTGGAGACCCCATGCTGCATTGAGGGCCCACTCCATCCTACCCTGGGGAACCAATGTTACAAGAATAGTAGAGGAGCCAGGCATGGTGCTGCAAGCCTGTAATCCCAGCGACTCAGGAGGCTGAGGCAAAAGGATCACAAATTCAAAGCCAGCCTCAGCAACCGAGAGAGAGCCCTAAGCAACTTAGCAAGACTTTGACTCAAAATTTAAAAAATAAAGAGACTGGGGATGTGACTTCGGGTTAAGCAGCCCTGGGTTCAATCCCTACTACAAAAAAAGAAGGATAAGTAGAAGGAGAAGAAGGAGAAGGAGAAGGAGAGTGCAGGATCCTGCATACTTCAGAAAGCTAGATCAAAATTTGACCAGAAATTTAAAAAATAAAATAAAAGCTTGTAGCTGTAGAGCTGGGAAGAGACACATAGATCTAGTCCCATAATCCTGAAGAGCATTTGGGTCTTCAGGCTTATGATGGGAATGAGCACACTTGTTTTCCTTCTTATCTTTCCTAAAATCTTCATTTAGTTAGAATAAAAATATAAAGAATATTGGCAAGACATCGAGGTGAACATGAATGGCAACATCAAGTAGAGGTAAAGTTGTACAAGATATAAAGGTAGAGGAACAGTTTGAGAGGTAAAATAAGACAAGCCACAAGCAACCCAGACAGGCAATAAAAGACCAGAGTCTTCTCTGTAGTGTACAGAGGGAGAAGAAGAACATCCAGTATCAGTAAGCACTGATTGGTGGTGGGATGGGAGATAGTGAATGCTGGACTTATCAGAGGATTAACTAACTAACTGAATAATTTCTGGACCAGCGTAGGGAGAAGAGCTAAAAATAATAATAATCAAGACCAGTCCTTATGGGTAGTTTTGCAATGTATATTAAAAGTCCTTAAAAGGTATAAAAACATTGCATAAATAATTCAATCTCTGGAAATTTTGCCTACGAGGAAACAATAATTTTTTAGATATACACACAAAAAGAATTTTTAAAGAGTATTTTTATTACACTGTTCTGTTTATGTATTTTTTTTCTTTTTTTAGTAGAGAATTACAGCTATGTATAGTAGCTGGGTTCATACCAACAAAATCATACATGTATGGAATCTGACACACTCCATTTCAGTCCCTATTTCTCCTCACTGCCGCCTCCTGACCAACCCCCTGCACTCCAGGGATACTCCTCTTACTCATCCATTTATCCATCTGTGATTGGTGCTTTCCACACACACACATAGAAATATCACAATGTTCTTAATAGCTAAAACTTGGTGGGGAGGAAAACTTAAGTCACTCATTCATTGGGAATTGTCTAAATAATATGTGGAAGCCCCATAAAATGAAATCAGGTAGTTTCACTACATTATGATCTCAAATAATTTTATAGTTTAGGAAGTACTTAGCTTTTATTATTAAACAAAAAGCTAGACTTATGAAACGGTGTTTGTTATGCTACGAACTACCCAAAATATACATAATATAAAATAGAAGGGCCGGGGTGGAGCTCAGTGGTAGAGTGCTTGCTTGTAATGCGCAAGGCCCTGGGTTCAATACTCAGTACCAAAAAAGGGAGAGAAAAGTAGAATATATAAAAATACATTGACAGTGCTAAGTATTAAATAAGGATATTGTTGATTTCAGTATATTTAATATTTTTGAAATTTTTAATATATTCTATATTAATTCTCTAGGTTAATAGCTACTTAAAATAATATCAAGCTTTGAAATTTATCTTCCAATGATCCCAGATGTTTAGCTGAAATCCCAATATAATACATAGCCCAAGGAAACAGTTCAGTTCAAATCTACAGCAGCTCGGTAGATGAAAAAGAAAAGCTCATATACAAGAGTAAGGACAGACAAGAACTACCTCATGACAAAAACAAGGAGGGGGGTGCAAGTGGATTTCTTGTAACAAAAACCAAGACAGTAAACTCGCTCCAGACCCCTCAGACCTGAATTCATCCTTGATTTTCCCCTTCTCGTGTGCCATTGTCAATGCATCATTAAATTCTGACCAAGACTTTCATAGGCATCCAGAACCTGATTATCTACACCAACTCAACCAATGTCATCTCTCAGCTGAGGTATTCCAGTAGACTTCAGGGTTTCACACTGATCTCATGTCTCTGCCTCTGCCCTGAGACACTTTTTGTCCATTGTCTCTCCACCTGGCATCTTTCAAGGGTGACTACTATGGGCTTTACCAATAGGTACCCTTGCCCTCTAATCTTTCAAAGGGGTGACATCAATCTCTAACCACTATGACCATGGCAATGGGCACCCTTAACTTATGACTTCTATGCTCTGTGTCATGGGCATCCTCTGGCTTCAAGGTGGGTTTGGTCAAGGGAATATAAACAGCAGGAAGAGCCAGGAGGAGAGTGAGGTCAGGGAATCACAGGATCCTCCACCACCTAAGGCTACAGCTCTAATTAAAGGCCATCTGATTCCCCCAGGGAAAAGTATATTAAACTTTTCAAGTCTTAGAAGTGAAAAGCTAGGAATGTCAACACATTTCTCATCTCGTTGAAAATCAGAGAGACCCAAAATGAAATGATGAGAAGATGACATTTCACACATGCACATAAGAAAAACTTATGACCCTAACACCAATTTTAGAAGTAGACAAGGCAAAGGGGGAAATGATCTGTGGCTTATACCACTGATAGAATGTGTTGGTTTAACCACCTTGGACAGTAAAGTGTGGCCAATCATATTAACACTGAATTTATCCAAACTCTACTCGCAATCTCATCCTTGGGGAGATTCTCATCCCCTGGGACTGTCAGCAGGACTCTCGCAGTTGCATTGCTCCTAAAAATGAAAAGCTGAAAATACTCAAAAGCTGCCAAAATAGGGAAATATCTAAATACAATGTCATATGGTCATGTGATAGCTTAATATACAGTAATAAAAATTAATTTGGATATATCAATCGATCCAAGAAATTTTTGGCTTAATAAATACTAGCAGATTGCACCAACACAAATAGATCTGAAAGCATAAGGAATAAAAAAAAAAGAAACTTACAAAATCATTTGATTTTGAAAAACATACAAAGACCCTACATAAATGGTTTTCTTTCTTTAAGTTTTAAAACATGGATAAGAATATTACTCATTAATTTTGGAATATTGGTTATCTTTGAGAGAGAAAGTGTGATAGATGTATAACATTTTTCCTCTTAAATAAATATTTAATAACACACATTAGGATAACAACTATCAAAAAGTCAGGAGGCAGGGCTGGAGATGTGGCTCAAGCGGTAGCGTACTCGCCTGGCATGCGTGCGGCCCGGGTTCGATCCTCAGGACCACATACAAACAAAGATGTTGTGTCTGCC